GCTGTCTTCTCCAGTTAGGAAGAACAAGGTACTGACAGCAGGAATTCATTTCCTAGAAGTCAAACACGGAGTATGTTAGTGTTTACAGGATCCAATCCCACTATTCACCATCTGCTTTCCCTGCTGAGAGGCACAATGCGGCAATGATTAGGAGCACAGGCTTCAGAGTTAGGTAGAGCTATAGAGTCAGGTGGACAACGCACTTTACCAGCTCCATATACTAGCTGTGGGACTTTGGGTAGGTTATTCAACCTCTCTGAGCCTGTTTCCTCCTACATTCAATAAGTAGTAAAGCCCACCAGGTGTTGGCATGAGCAATACAGATGTGAACACTGCTCTTAGGAAGACTTAGAGTGGCCCTGGGGAAACATTCTAGGTACCCAGGACCACAGATGCGATGAGGATGATAGTGAATTGTGCAGGACAACAGGGCAGGTAACCAGCTGCAACCCTGAGATCCCACTCTAGAAGTTTTTTTTTTTTTTTTTTTGTGATACTGGAGATTGAACCCACAGGTGCTTAACCACGGAGTTACATCCCCAGCCCTTTTTATTTTTTATTTTGAGAAGGTCTCACTAAGTTGCTTTGGGTCTTGTGAAATTGCTGAGGCTGGCTTTGAACTTGCAGTCCTCCTGCCTCAGTCTCCCAAGCTGTTGGGATTACAGATGTGCACCACTGCGCCCGGCTGGAAGTGGTTTTGAGGTTGCCCACAGAAAGAACAGAACCAGCAAGAAGCAGCGAGTGAAGAGGAATGGGAGCCAGTGACACCCATCCCACAGCACTGAACCTTGGAGAGCCCTTGCCTGCAATCCACCCCAAATCCTTTTTCATTTCCTGTTGTTTACCCATCCAGAGGTCCCACAGCACAGCTCCTTCCCCTCATGACCCTGCTTCACCAGGACTTAGCAAAAGACCCGCCTCCACCCTCCTCTTAGCTGAGCCCGGTGCTTGCGGAGACACTGACTGGTTCTCACTTCTGAGTCTTTGCTTAGCCTATTCCTTCTACCCAGAATGCCTTTCTGCTGGTCTCCTCTACCCTCTCTAGAGGTTCCCCTGGGCCCTACGATGGAACTGATCACTCCCTCCTCTCTGCCCCTTGGGGCTTCCTATGTAGGCATACACTGGACTCCCCTGGACGGGGCTCACTTGCCAACATCCCGTCTCCCTGCCAGCCTTGAACTCCAGAAGGAAAGGGGAGCGCGGAGGGCATGGGTCAGAAGCCCAGTGCCTGTCCCTCCACTGACCCTCAACTCCACTTCACGGTCAGGACCAAAGATAAATGTTTTCCTCTTTACTGAAGCTTGTCCTGCTCCTTCTATCCGTGTGGGGCATCTGTGATCCTTAATCTACACCAGGCGTCATGCAGCCCAGGGTTGGTGAGTCTCTGTTCCGCAAGAGACGTTTCTGGAGCGATCCACCCAGTTTGTTCATAGTGCCATGTTTTGGGCTTAATATTTACAGATACTCCATAGACATTTTTTCAAGGAATGAATGAAAGAAGAATGCTGACAGCTTTAGGTTCCTTTTAACTTCTCTTTTCTACTCCCGCCCTGCCCCAGGTACTGGGATTGAACACAGGGGTGCTCTACTACTGAGCAACAACCCCAACCCATTTTACTATTTATTTTGAAACAGGGCCTCACTAAATTGCCCAGGCTGGCCTTCAATTTGAGATCCTCCTGTCTCAGCCTCCCACGTAGCTAGGATTACAAGCCTGCACCACCACACTGGGCCCTTTCTTTTTCCAAAATTATTCGAGTTTATTAAACTTGTCCAGAAAGATATTACATTTCTAGGGTTTTACCTTTCTTTGACTCCTGTCTCTGAACCCATAGCCCTAAATGTCTTTTGGTCATCCCTCTTGGATATCCCCCAGGGGACCCCCACATCAATCCAGCCGCCATCTTTTCTCATCCACACCAGCCCCTTGGACAGGCTGTACCCTAGTCTCACTTACCTAGCCCCGAAACTTAATTGTCTTCTCTTTTGGTGCTGGGAATCAAACCTGGGGCCTTGTGCATGCTAGGCAAGTGCTCTACCACTGAGTCACGATCCTGGCTTAGTCTCACAACTTGGGATTCTTAACACTTAATCCCTTATTTCATATAAAGGGTGAGGACCCAGAGACTCACCCAAATCTACGGCCAGATCTAGAGCCTCGGACTTGTCACCCCCTACAGATTCTGCCTCCTCCCTCTGTCTTCTCTTTCTGGGGCATCTGCATCTCAGTTCAGGCTGTTCCCTCTGCGTGGAAGAGAAGTCCTTCCCATCCCCCTTCAATGTGGAAGCTCCGTCCTCAGGACGCCTTCCCTGGCCACCAGAGCACAGTCTCGCCTTTCACCTCTTTCCGGACTCCAGGTTGTTTGTGCCTCTTGTTGCCTCTGTCTAGAAACCCCTTGAAAATTTACCTATTCTGTCCCCCACTCAGCCCCCAGAGCTCTCACAGTCGATCTAGAATCTTCTTTCAAATGGGCCCTGGAGAAATTATAGCATTTGGGCTGGGATGTGGCAAATATGCATGTTTGAGGCCCTGGGTTTGAGTCCCAGCAACAAAGAAATAATAATGTAAATAGTAGCATTTCCTCCCTCCCTCCCTTCCTCCCTCCCTCCCTCTCTCTCTCTCTCTCTTTCTTTCTTTCTTATAGTTGTGGGAGGTGCTAGGGATCAAACCCAGGACCTCAGGCATGGCAGGTAAGCACTCTTCCACGGCTATGCCCCCATCTCAGTCCCCTTGTATTTAACCTTTCAGGGGCTTCCGTAGCACTCAGAATAAAACCCCAAACCCTCACTCTGGCCTGTGAGGCCCTACATGACTGGCCTCCACCCCTGCTACCTCCTTGACCCCCACCTCCTACCAGCTGCCCCCCTTAAACCTCACTGCTTTGAGGTACAGTGGCTCTCCTGCTCTGCATTCAACACCAGCTGATCTTTTCCACTTGGTTGTTAATTCCTTGTCTCTGTGCACCACACACCCGCCACCGCACAGACCCCTACCAAACACCCCTTCTGTCAAACTCATCGCTCTTTTCCCAGGGTCTGAACAGTGCCTGGTGACAATAAATGTGTGTGGGTCCCTAGCCCAGAGGAGTGATCTGGGCTGGGGACAGAGATTTATGAGTCATGTGCGTGGAGATGGTAAATAAAGCCAGTGGGGTGGGTGCACTGGCCCAGAGAGTGGTTGACTATGAGGAGAGGAGGGCCCTGGAGAGCAGAGCATCTAATGGCTGTAAAAAGGAGACTGTGCTGTGAAAACAACAGAGAAGACAAGGAAAACTGTAATAGCTTTAAGTCCCAAGAGAATGTTTTCTGGAGGGAAGGCGTGGAAGTGTTAACTGCGGCTGAGAGAGAAAGTTAAAGCTGAATTCAGCTCCCAGACGCTGTTGACCTTGGGCAGACCCCTGCAGCTCTGTGGGCCTCAGAGGGAGCCATCTGTGCAAGGAGAGGGACCTCTCAGGTCTGGATGCTCCAAGCTCTGAGAAACTACTTCTGCTTAGATTCATATCACCCTTGCCAGAAAGAAGAGTCATCTACCTGTGGCCTAGGAGCAGAGGGGTGGCCAGAGGACCCACCCTCATTATTTACCCACTGGCAGCTGACAAGCTTCAGAAAGCATCTCTGTAGCTCTGACCCTGTACCAGGTGGAGAAGAGAGGAGGCCCCAGGCCTTCCAATCATGTACAGCTGGTCTGGACCGGGACTGTCTCCACCCTCCAAGTCCTGGCTTCCTGGATGCCTCCATGACAGGACAAAGCCCACCCACCTCTGCCCATCAGCTGGACAGCCTTACAAGCTGAAGAAGGCCCAGCTGCCTAAGTGGCCCTGCTTGCTGCTATCATATAGGGTCCTTTAATATCCCCTGGGAGGAGGGCTGCCACCCCACAGTGACCCTGTGGTCCAGAGAAAAGCACAGACCCACCACGCACACTCATCTGGAAAACACCAGAAGGTGCTTCCAAGGAAGAGACAGGAATTGCTCCTACTAATCAGAGCAAATCACAGCCACCAATGACTGAGCTCTTGTTTGGGGCCAGGTGTTCATCTCAGCAATGATCCCATTTGATTTGCACAGCAAGACTGTGAGGGATGTTGTTATCCTCGTTTCATAAGGGAGAAAACCAGGCTCAGAGAAGTTAAGGGCTCTCTGATTGCACAGCTAGTAGGTAGCTGAGGCCAGTTCATTAATGCAGCCAGCCTGACAGTCTGGCTCCTAATCCTTGAACTTCCCCAGAAACAACAAGGCAGGATTTTTGTTTTCTCATTTCCTACAAGTAGTGTGACCTTGGGCAAGATTTACTCCCCACATTTCGCACCTGCAGTTAGCAGATTTCTTAGTGCTCTTCCAGTTCTGACATTATGTGATTAGCTAGGGTTTGTACAGAACTTCAGTCTACGAAGACACCCATCCGGCCCCTCCTGTACTCCCTCAGCAGGGATGGAGTATCTCCTCCAGTTGACAGATGTGCATGTTGAGGCTCAGAGACATGCCGCGACCTGCCCAAGGTCACAAGCAAGTCGGGGCCCACCCGAAAGCCCACACTGGAGCCCCACACTGGACGCTCCGCGTCCTCTCCAGAAAGGGCAGCCCCGCCGCGGCACCGCGCCCAGACCTGGCCGGCAGGGGGCAGCGCCCGGCTTCCCTCCGCCTGGGACCACCTGGGGGCGACGTAGCCCGGCCTGGGGGCACACCTCGCGCCCCGCCTGATCTGGCTTGAGCCGGGGCACCCAGAAAGCGCAGGAGATCCCTCAGCCGCCCCGACGGCTGCCTCGGCCCACGCCACGGTCCCGGGGCTCCGGAGGGCGACCCCGACGTTCCCCTCGGGAGCCGCAGGTCCTCGGCGCCACGCTCCCCTCCCGTCCGAAGGCGCGGGGAGGCGGGCCACCGGGGGCCAAGGAGGGTGCCCCGGTCCCCGCGCTCTCCGGACCCCCAGGTCGGGCACTGCCACGCGCGGCGGCGGGCGCGCCCCCTGCCCCTGTCCGGGCGGCCGGCGGCTCCGCACTCACCCGCTCCGCGGCTGCAGGTGCGGACAGACGCCAGGCTCGCTTCACCGCTTGGGCTCCTCGCGCCGCGTCTCCGCCGGCGATCACTCGGCCTCCGCCACAACCCCGCGGAGCTCAGGGCGCTGCCGCCCCGCCGCGCTTCGCGCTCCCACCTCCTCCGCGCTCCCAGCGCCCTGCGGCTCCGGCGCTGCGCTCGCTGCCCGCGCCCGCCGCTCCTCCTCGCTCCGCTCCCCAGCTCCTCCCCTGCCGGGCTCGCTCCCCACTTGGCCCCCCGCCCGCCAGGAGGGAGCTCGGCCCCTTCGATCCAGTCCTGCAGGCTCCGCAGCTACCAGCCCCAGCCCGCCTAGGGCACTGACCCAGCCTCTGGGGTGGGTGGGCACGGAGGAATCAGGTGGAGAAGAACCCAGGCACGCCCAGGTCCCCACCTGTTGGAGGATCAGAAGGCTGCGTCTGAGGTTAGGGCCCGCAGGGAGGTGGGTCATGCCCAGAGATCTGTTCTTATCCCCTGTGTTCATTACAAGTTGATTTTTTTTTTTTCATTTTGCAAATATTTATCCATCTACTCTATGGCGGCATGCTCGAGGCACTAGGAATGTTGCAGAGAACAGACGGGCGTAAACCCCGTGGAGCTTACATTCTATTCTACTGGGGGTAGACGCAATACACTTAATAAGCAAAACGTGTAAAATGTTTATAGCGGTTAATGGTAGGGTGAGAACGAAAGCAAGGAAAGTTGAGGGCTCTGGCTAGGGAGGCATCAGTGGGATGCCTGAAGGATAGAGCACCCCTCCCCATCCAGAGGGGGACAGTGTCCAGCCACTTCCCTGCTGGGTAACAGTAGAGGAGGTCAGAGAGGTAGGGGCAACAGATTCTGAGTGTCAGCCCCGCTGCAGGCATCCAGTAGGTGTTGGAGGTGCTCAGATCAATCTCCCTGGTTGCAGAGCCAGGGGCGAGAGAAGACTGTAGCTCCAAGACAGAAACAGCAAGAAACTTCCACCAACCAAACAGGCAAAAACACAGAGCAGGCTGCACCCAGGTTTGGAGCAGCTGCAGTAGAACTGGTCTTCTGTGTCCTTGTGGGTTGTCTACTCCTATATTTTGAAGCCTTGTTATTAGGAGCATCCATCATCAGGACTGTATGTCTTAATGAGTTGACCCTTTTGTCATTATGAAGTGACCCTCTGTCTCTGATAATGTTCCACCTTGAAGTCTCCTGAGCCGGGGTTAAGGAGAGGCCCATAGCACCATTGGCACCCACAGAGCTTTCTGACATCTAGCACACCAATAACCTCCGCAGTTTAGCCACACTCTTTTCCGTGTCCTTCTGTGTCCTTCTGTGTGCACAAAATTCTCTACCTACCTGGCCCCTCCCCTCTTTCTCCACACCTCACCCTCCTAGTTTATCATTTGATGATTGGCCTGGAGCCTCCATCTCTCTCAATCTCTTTTTTGGAAGCCTGTGATCAATGATCATTAATAATGCAGAAGTTCTTTTTGTCTTAGAGCAAATCCCAGGCAAATAAATCACTGGCGAATAGACAGGAGTTATCGGCAACCACACCTCAGCCTTCTCCACTCTCCTCGGGCCCTGGGCTCTTTTCCCACATAGGAAATCAGAAGATTGAGCAGTGCCATATGTAGTCATGCCCCGAAATAAGCACTGCTGCAGATGCCCCGAGGTGAACTGTCACAGAGGAACCAAAGGTCCTGCCTACACAACCAAACATCGTCACCGCTACTGGGGTCCTGGCAGGAAGTTCTGAAGTTGAAAAATCCACACAGCGGAGTAGAGATAGACTTATCCCGAGTGTATGTACTTTGTAAAGAGACCCTGACACCCCAGACACTGCCCTGGTCCACAACAGAGGGCCAGGAGAGAGGCAAACTCTTGCAGCACCTTCTAAGGGAACATATGCTTATAACACTCAGCAGCTAAAAGCAGCCAAAAATGGTAAACATTATGGAAGAGCTGGTTGCAAGAAAATCCCAGGTCTTCAGGAGGGAAGACCTCAGCTTCTCAGCCTTTACCCTGGACCAGTGCGTGTGTGATGCACCCAAGGAGCTCATGGTCGGTCACTGGAGAAAAGCCACAACAGCAGGGAGTGGGCAGGGAGAGGAGGAGGCACAGCCCAGCTGGGAGGTGGGCAGGCAGTCAGGAAAGGCACCGAGCCCTGAAGGATAGGTCAAAGGCATCTGGGCAAAGACTGGCAAGACAAGCAGAGGAGTTCCCCGGTAGGTGTAGCTTGTGCAGAGAAACTGAGGCCACAGAGAACCAGGGAAGGGCACGGCAGGTCTTTAGGTAAGGGAGAGTTAGAGGGTTGGAGATGGGGCTGGTGGGGCGGGAAGAGGCCAGTGCAGGAGGAGCCTTGAAGGCTTGACAGGAGCGTCCCTTTGGCCAGGGCCATTGGGAACAAGGAAGGGCTTGACAGGACTGGGCAGACTGGCAATCCCTGGTGCCTGAACTCTGACAACCATGTGGGCATTGCTAGCAGGTCCACACGGGGCAATTCCCAGTCACCTTCCTGTCCCCTGCAGACCTTCTCCCAGGCTTTACTAAAGCAGACTTACTGACCACACAGCTGTGATCCCCTGACTAAAGACCTGGAGGACACCAGGGCCTTCCACTGCCTCCTGAGAGGTCCCCACTCCTCCTCTCTTGGCATCCCCGGCTCTTTTCAGTCTGTCCCCACCCTACATCGCCTGACTTCTCCATAGCCAGCTCGGGCTCATGGTTTACTTCTATCTGGAAAGCTCTGAGCCTCCTTTTCCTTGACCAGAATCGCCCTCACTTCCAGTATCTCTCATACCTCCTTTCATACCTACAAGGACTCATTCCTCAAGGCCCAGCTCAGAAACCCACTTCTGGATGGTCCTCTATCTCCCCTGCATGGAAGTGTGGTTTCCTCCTCAGAGGTCAGCAGCAGCTTGGGGTGATAGATACAGGCTCAGCAATCATGTGGATCTGACTTCTGATTTCACTGCTCAGTAGCTGTGCAACTCCGGACAAGTTCTCTCAGTTCTGTGAACTTCGCCTTGACCATCTGTTGAATGTCACAGTGAACACTGCCTGCCTCATGGACTCTGATGCCAGCCAAATTGAAGTCAGTATCTGGCACATGTGTGACATACATATAAAACAGTAACTACCACACAGTAGGTTCCATGTCTGTCCCCTGTGACTGTAATTGTAGTTGGATGTCACACACCTTCCACAATTATTCCCCCTCCCTGATATGATGAGTTTCTGGAGGGAAAGAGTTGTCTTATTCACTAGGTGTGCCTCCTGTCCAGCCCCGGAGCTGACACGTTGTAAGTGTTCAACCAAAGACGGATGGATGGATAAATTAGAAGAGGAAACCACCTGGCCACCCCTCTTCCCTACTGTCCCTCTGCTGTAAAGGTGGGAACTAGGCTTTTCCTTTTCTGAAGAATGTTGAATGACTCCCGTGTCAGGGGACTTGTGTCTAGGCAGGTCGTGTCACCAGACAGCCTGTAGTTTGCAGTTTCTTCAGGGGAGCACTGTCTAGACAGAGGGGACATCAGTGCCAGGGAGGAACAGGGACTGCATAGGAATCAGAATGCAGGGAGGGTTCCCAGGGACCTGCAGCCCAGCCCGCGTCCTCCTGCCTTCCTCCCCATAGCTCGAGACCTGGCTGAGCACGTTCACTTGTCATCTGCCCCTATAGTGGGAATCCGCTCACAGATTTTGCCTGGCGACAGCAGAAAGGGGTACAGCACAGCCAAGGGCTAAGCAAAGGGCAGAGAATCCATCAAGAACAGGAACCAGCATTTATTGATCAGGATTCTTGTGTTGTTCCAACCACTTTAATCCTCTCTGTGACCCTGTGAGGAAAGCACCATTGTGTATTTCAGCTCTATAGATGAAGAAACAGACACAGAAATTAAGTGACTGTCTCTTGCAAGGATAGTGGCAGGACCTCAATTATATCTGACTCCCCAGGAATCAGATGTCCAAATTTTTTGTGCGCTCGGTCCTTACATAGTGCTGTGGTAAGTGGTGTAGGGCCAGCAAGGATAATTAAATTGTGATTTCTACTCTCACAGAGTTCATAACCTGAGGACAGAGGTGAAGCTTGACTTATCTTTGTGTTCCCAGCGTAGGGTCTGGCAATACAGTGAATGCTGCTTAAGTCACAAGTCGTCAGAGCTGGAAGGTTCTGGTCTTTGGAGTTCAAGTATAGCAATCCTGTTAAATTACAGCTGGTGAAACTGAACCCTGGAAGGAGGAACTGGAGAGTATGGTTAGGAATTTGGGCTCTGGAGCCAGACCACTTAGGACTGGGTGACTCTGGGTTGGTTACTTAACCTTTCTGAGTCTCAGTCTCCTTGACTGAAAAAGAGGGATAACATTGTGAGAAGTGAGCACCTCCATGAGTAGGAATATCCTGACAATCAGAGAACCCAGTGCCACACATTTTTTGCTCTGATGATTACTATCCAGTCACAATGACTTGCTAGCAGATCTGGGCTGGACTCTGCGTTTCTTGACTCCCTCTAATGCTCTTTCCAGCTCTGCATGGTTCCTGGGTCCACTAGAGCATGGTCATGGGAGGTACCCAGGAGGGGTGGCATGTGTGTGTGATCAAGTGCCCATTTGGTCCCTGAGCTCAGTGCCTCCATCATGCCCCCTCCCCATCTTCCCACCTTGAAGCCTCCCTTTTTCTCCCCCATGGACTAGAGTCCAGAGACTGGCTCCTCACTGGAACATGCGCGGACACTCCTGATAACATGCCTGCACTCCTGTCACAATTTCCTCTGGACCAGACAGGGCGGGGCCCAGCCAGGCCGGAGCCAACAGGATATTTCCCGGGAGCAGCGAGGGATGGACAGGAGAGGACAGAGATGCTGTCTCCAGACTGACTCTCAGCCTCGAGCCAGGAAGAGATGCGTCCACAGGAGAGGGTTTTCTGTTTGTTTTCCTCCAGCTGGACTTGCAGTGAGAGAATTTAATTAAGAACTCAATTGCCTCTCCTGGGGACCAGAAATCTGAGGGGACTGGATGGCTGAGGCTGGTGGCCATGAGAAAGCAAGGGAGGGGGCCTCTCTTGACTTCACTCTCAGCACTGTGGACTTAAGCTGCAGCCGAGCGCCTCAGCTCACAGGGTACATTGGTCCACT